TGACACATGGCTTTGGAGGCTGTCCTGGAACTAGCTCTTGTAGACTAGGCTGGGCTCGAACTCCCAGAGGCCTGCCTGCCTCTGCCTTCTGAGTGCTGGGATTAAAGGAGTGTGCTACCAATGCCCAGCTTCTCCGTGTTTTCTAGATCACATATATCATTAGTTTATAAGAGACACAACTCAAAGAATGGATTGCTCTTGGTAACGATTGAGGTGCCCTTAAAGGGGAAAGTCTACTTGTAAGAATCCTGGAGAAAATAAATAACATCTTTGCCCCTTGTGGTTTTCAACTAATAATGGACACGGGTCTCTATGTGTGTGTGTTGGGGTGGGGGTGGGGGTCTGCTTTCCTTGGAGTCTGACCCAGATGAGAGAAATGTGCTTATTTCTTATGCAAATGCCCAGCCTGGTGTGCTGTGGGTATGGAGGCTGCTAAGGTGTTCAAACGCAGGGGTGGTTATAAACTGCTTTGTGGTCAGCAGCAGCAGCACAAGTGTCTACATGAGGACCACCTGGAGGTGTCATACAGAGGGGACATGATACTCTTGAAAAGAATTACTGCTTCCAGCAAGCGCACTATGCTCCTGTTTGGAGCAAGTTACTCAAGGAGTGAGTCCCTCTGAGAGTCTACAAAAGGCTCTCAGTTCATCAAGCAAGAGTAACGCAGACATTTTGTTACAGTAAGTCCTACCCAATGCCTTTCTTTTCCAGATGTTCTCCGCTCTCCTGCATCTTATATAAAGTAAATGCTCAAAATTTATTTTTCAGATTTCTCTATGAAGCTCGTAGTGCAGCCTGGTAAAATGGGATGAGAATATTGACAACTCAGAGAAGTATTTCTTTTCTGTTTTAGGAACAATTTCTATGTCAAAGTGGTCTGTTTTCATTTCTATTTTTGCCTAGCCTAGCACTTAATCAAGGTAGTTAAATCTTGAAGTTATACAGCCCACCCACTCTCATCTGTCCCTCCTGCATGGGACCCTGGAGAGAATTCCTGCATGTGGAGAATTCATTGAATTTTAATGCTTTGAAGATGGAGCTTTTATGCTTGGGCCCTGGATAAATAACAAACTTTTAGGAGAGACTGTTTTTATCTTCCTGGATCAGGAATTATCATCATCACATTATAATAATCACTTATGTAACATCAATGATGTGCCATTGACCGTCTGTCCTGAGTATTTCATGTGTTTAGACCTTTATTATATCCCAAATACAGCTGAATAAACAGGCCCAAACAGCAGATGGCAGCTGATCTGGGGTCTTCCATTCATGAAGTAACTACTGCTTACTGTTATGGTGGAAGCTTCACCCCAGTTGCCGGCATCCATATATACCCAAAGAGTCTGGGATGTTATGATGGAAGTTCTACCCAAGCCCCCTTCCCTATCTCTCTCCAAACCCTGCTGCATCTCAGAAGGCCTGCCAAATGATGAACCCTCCCCTAGAGATACTCGAGACCACTCCCACAGGGTATTTAAACTGTTCCCCAGAAAACAGACTCATGGTTTTCCAGTCGCTCTTTCCCATTTCCTCTCTGGGGACTGGAAGGCCATCCAAGAGCATTGTATCCACTAAACCTGGGTCTATTCTAATTTGGTTTCATTTGGTCTGATTTGGATTGCTGAATTAGTGGAGAGGCTTATCGGGGTGCAGAAACTTTTCACTTACAATTGCCCCTTTAGAATTTGAGGCATTTTTTTCTGCATTGTAAATGGAAAAAAGAACACTGAATAATTAAGGAAAAGCTCTAAGGGTCTACAGGGCTCAAATTCTCTACTGTGAAGCAGTACCATGGCAGGGGATCCATATAGATGCTCCCATGCCTGGACCATGGCAAATGCTCAACAGATAGAAAGCCTTGGAGCCTTCTCATGCCATGTGCAACTCAATGCCAGGAAAGTCTTTCCCTTAGCCTGCTAATGAGCAATAGGCTGCAGAACCCACACCGGGCCTGGGACCTGCAGTCAGAGTGCCAGAGGCTATCCTCTCCTGCCACTAGCTGCTTCATACCTGTAGTTTCTCTGTAGCACAGCCACCAGTTAAAGTCAATGGCCCTTAAACCAGCAGAACATCCGTCAGAGTAAAGGGACACCTTTATTCTAACTAATGTTTTCTGAAGAAGCCCACCCATAGACTTGCAGGCTAGGAACTTATTCTACCAGTTCTGCTTCAGTGCCCTTTTAAACCTCTTTGACAGCCTTGAGCCAAATGATCATCTTGAGGCATGTATCATAAGTGAACAGCTCGTCTCAGACTAGTCCAAGTGAAAAACTTATGGTACTGGCATCATAAAGACATTTTGCAAAACATTCTTAATTTAGTCTAGTGAAGCTCTGAGTGGAGTTTCTGACTGGGGTAACCCTTCAGTGAATTTCCTGCTTATAGCAACTGCAATGAAAATACCAGCTTCCTCCTATGGGTGCCTCCTCCCTGCCGGTGATATGGGTCTGGGACCCAAGCTCCAGGGAGGAACCAACCTTCTGGTCCCTGAATTCTGCGGGACCAGCACCCAGACTGAACAGTTCAGCAATGTACCTGACAAACATGCTACGAAGGGTGGGGGTGGAGGGCAGGTATTGGAGAAAGGGAACTTGGACAGCTAACTCCACTCAGCACGTGTGGAGTATGTATGTTCCAGGAGGGAAGCCCAGAAAAGGTGCCTGACCTCTACCCTACTGACAGAGTCACTGAAAGAGAACACAGGATGTAATAGCTCCAGGAAGAGCTATCCTCATTGGAATAAAAGATAGGCAGACAGGGTCCTGTCTAGTGGGGACAGTGTGTCTGGGTAATAACATGCCAACAAGTGCCAGCTTTGGCTCATAAACAAACTACGGAAGGGAACTGAGCAGCCATAGCAAACGTTAAGACGTTCCATGGTAGCTTTAGAAACTGGCATATAGTCTGAATATCAAGAACTTAAAGTAACCTGAGGGCTTAAAGTTTCTGTGTGAATTTATAAACAAGGATTAGCTTTAGAACTTAGCTCTAACTCTTTAAGAAGGCTTGCATTGGTTGAATGAAGAGACAGCATCTAATGACAGAGACTAGTTTATTGGTTAACAGCGAAAAGAATGATTTTCATCCAGTTACACAGTAGCTCACTCATTATGTGCCCAACACCTTGAGGGTTTGTGGAAGGACAGGCAACCGTGTCACTTCCCCAATGCAAGATGCCCCAAATAATACGTCCCAAGCAAAGCTGAGACAGGGATCAGTCAAGTTCTACAAAGCCGGCAGCTTGTTTTGGGTTCACAGCAAGCCTTGGGCAGAAAAGCTCCTCCTTCGGCACTGTTTCATTTGCTTCTCTCCCTCTGGAAGCAGCCCTACTTCAGTATAAACTGGCTTCTGAAATTCTAAACCATGCATCTTTTAGCCAGAGGCTCCAACACTTCAAGTTTTTCTCTTGGTCTGACAAGTCTAAAGCAAGTCCTTGAGCAACAACCCCACCCCAAACTAGCAGCATGGGGGCCTCTGGCCACTTTCCAGAACACTGAATTAAAACTGAACAAAGGAAAAGGGTTACTCATGTTTATGTCTCTGCAAAATGACTCTTACTGAGTACTGGCAATTATCGCAAAACAGATAAAACAGGCCATCTCAGATCCAGCTCTTCATACCTTCCAAGCTGTGTTTGGGGTGGGCATGTGAAACCATCATCCCAGCTCAATGGGCAGAACTACAGTGAGGGGTAAAGGAGGCACAGATGGGCATTATGTTGGAAGTGCTTAGATTCCATGCTGTCTTTTGCCAGCAAGCTATTTAAGAGATGTGGAGGTAGTGAGGAGATGGCAGAAATGGAGTGTATATTAAGCTACCAGTCAGAACTGCCATGGCTCAATGACGGGTTCTAAATGTTCTCATTGAATATACCATCCCAGTACCATAGGAGAAGCCAGTTGCAAAACACAGCATGTATTAACGTAGTGTATATTAATCAGGAGGAACATGGTTAATGCAATTTTAGAGAAAGCAAAATAAAGGAGCATCACATAAAACTAAGTTCAACAGAGAATAAATGATGCACTTGTAACTGCACAAGGTCACATATTCCCTCTTTCTCCCATTAACTGAACTGAAACAGAGGACACAGAATAGTCTGAGCAACAAGCTAACTACCTTCCTTCTGACCCCTGTGCACTTTCTCCCTAACACACACTGTACAATGGAACTTGCATGGTGGTGTATACCTATATTCTCGGCCCTTGGGAGGTAGAGGAGAAGACAGGGAATTCACTCAAGGACATCCTTGGTTTCATGAGGATCTGAGGTTAGCCTAGGCTGCATGAGAACCTGTCTTAACCAACCAACCAATCCACCTACCTATCCCAAAGTAGAAACAGAAGTTTCATAAAACTGTAATTCTTCTGAGTATAATATCCTTTGGTACTTACAACTTGGCTGCATTTAAACCTTACAGTTTCTGTTCATGATTCAACACATAGAATCCCAACAACCCCCCAAAGGGGTTCCAACCCTCTCAATGTGTTAAGACCTACATTTTTGAAAAACACTTGCAAGCTGTGGTGGTTTGAATAAGAATGACCCCATAGGCTCATATATTTGAATACTTAGTCATCAAGGAGTGGAAATGTTTGGAAGGATTATGATATACAGCCTTGTTGGAGTAAGTGTGTCACCAGGGGTAGGCTTTGAGGTTTGTATCATTTTATTTGATTATTCATTTATTTATATGTGTATAGTTGTTTTGCCTGCATCTGTCTGTGCACCACATATGTGCAGTGTCCTTGGAAAGAAGGCACTGGAACTCCTGAGATTAGAGTTACAGCCAACCATAGTTATGAGCCACCATGGATGACTGGAATTGAACCCCATCTTCTAGAATGCAGTCAGTGTTCTTAATTGCTGAGCCATCTCTCCAACCTCCGTTTTTATTTTTTTGGCTTTTTTCAAGACATGGTTTCTTTGTGTAACAGTCTTGGCTGTCCTAGAACTTGCTTTGTAGACCAGGCTGGCCTTGACCTCACAGAGATCCACCTGCCTCTGCCTCCTGAGTGCTGGGATTAAAGACATGCACCAGCTAATAAATTCAATTAAATCTTCAGTTGATTTTGTACATCTATAATACAGATCATGTACATCAATTCTATATAACAAACATCTGCAAACAGGACTGAGACACTTTCTGCTTAGGAGATGACAGGGAAAAATTATGAAATACCTCAGGTGTCCTTGGGAAATAAATCATCAGAACTTAAAACTATTGGGGCTTTATCGGAGCCTAATCAATGATGAAAAACCAGCTTCAACCAGCTCTAGTCTTCCATATAGACAAAGAGTGATATAGTTATGTTATTTAGTGGAGAGAATGCAGTTTGAGAATTGTCTTACTAGGTAATTTCTGTGTTGTGTGAACATTACTATATACCTACCTGAACCCAGACGGTACAGTCTACCATATATACCCATGCTATTACAGCACAGCTCTGAGACTATAAACCTAGCATGTAACTGTAGAACATGGGCAGCAACTATTTGTATATCTAAACAGAAAAAAAACTAGGTGACAAGAATTTTTCAGCACCATTAACAATAGTATGAAATGTTTTAAGTTGAGTTTTCAGTGACAAAATGCCATTATGTGATATGACAATAGTTTATATAAGTAACCATACCACCTTGTGTGAGGAACAACAAGTTATACATGTAAGAAGACTACCAGAGAGATAAGAAAAAAGGGCTAGAAGAAATATTTGAATAAATAATGTGAGAGAAATTTTAATGACTGAGAAATTTTCTCAAATTAATGTCAGATACAAAAGCACAAAATGCAAGTAGGATAATTGACCATGCTTGGTTCTAATAACTATATCTAGCACATTATATTTAAATTTCAGATAATCAAAGATAGAGAGAGAAAAAAAGCCTTTGGAACCAAAGATAAAAATTACACCTCATATCTCCTCAGAAAACATTAAAAAAAAAAGGAGCACAGGAAAAAAATAGGTATTTACAGAGGAAAAAACAAACAAACAAACTCAAACTAAAGTTCTGTGACTTACAAAATTATCCTGGCAATGTGGAAGTGAAAGAACTTTCTTGAATAAATAAGATTACAAAAAAAAATGCTGCATATCTTTCAACATTTTTTCTCTTGGTGGTAGAACTTTAAGCCACAGCCATACCTGAATCAGGGAAATGCTCAACTACTGGGTACATCCCAGGCCCCACGGGAAATATTAAGATGTTCTTTTTCCCCTTCCTTTATAAAAAGGATATTCTTAGCTAAGTTATGGTGGTGTGCACTTGGAACCCAAGCATTCAGGAGGCAGGAGGATCACCATAAGCTAGAGGCCACCTGATATATACAGTGATCTTTGTAGTTTGTATAAGTGTTTTACAATTAAATAAGCAAAAAGTAAATACGTGGAGAAATGACAGACAGGCTTATGTTTAATAGTCTTATTAGTACAAGTCTAGGCCTCTGGTTCAAGGTCATATAAATGGAGGTCAGAAACATCTTTCTAATGGGTGGAGATGCTGCTTAGTGGTAGGATGCCTGAAAAAAAGGAGAGAAGCAAGGAGAACTGAGATGGAGAAGGAGACCAATAATGAGGAAACAGAAAAGCTGAGAGATTGAAGGGGTGGAGAATGAGGATTCACAATAGACAAGTGACTGAAAACAAGCAGAGGAATGAAAAACTGAGAGAGGTATGACACCAGAAGTGAAGCATTTTTCAGGAATGTCCTGGTTAACCAGGCCATGAATCACACTAAGTGAGCCAAGCATATAATCTGATTGAGAAACAATAAAAGAGTTAAAACCAATCCAATTTGTGATCAGAGACCAGCTATGTCCACATAAACTCATACTTTTAATACTTCTATGTTTCCTATAGGTCTTCCCTCTAAAATTAGGATGTTTTTCTTTTTGGCAGTCAGTATTTAGTCAATATTTCCCACAAAGCTAAGTGTCATCTGAAGAAAATTCCAAAACTCCTACTTAGAATTTTCAGAGCAGAAAAAAAAAAGTATATTCAGACTTGGGTTTCAAACTCTAAGAGCTACACACACTCTCTCACACACACACACACTCTCTCTCTCTCTCTCTCTCTCTCTCTCTCTCTCTCTCTCACACACACACACACACACACACACACACACACACACACACACAAACGCCATACACATACAGAAGTATAGTCAAAACAAATGCATATCCTAGACTGTTTAAGAGTCTAAGATCCAATGGACATAGAGACATTCTGAACTGTCAGGGAAAGTCTCATGTTTGCCCACTATTGTCTCTGAATGTAATAAGGACTCAGAGGTCCAGGAGAGGTATTTCAACACCCTGAAAGGAGAATTTTTCACTTTGCTTCCATGCTCTTAGCAATGAGTTTGCTTCTTCTGTTCTTTCTCTGTGTTGCAAACTCAGAGAAGGTGTATTGGCCGGGACCATAAATAATCCTTACTATAACACACAGGTAATAGCTTAGCAGGCTTTAAAGAGGTAGGAATACAACTGCATTGAAAACGTCTACAGTATTTACTTATCAACTCTCAATTCCAGACTCAGCCTGAAGGACAGATGTCTATGAGAACCAATGGTGGGAAACCCATTATGATCAAAGCAAGACCTGAGTTGGGTGTAGGGAGGGGTACCTTGACACTAAAAACAAAACAAAAACCCAAAACAAAAACTTAAAAAATATCTCATCATGACCAACCAGTTAGATGTACACATTAAGAAGAAATGAGGAGGAAAAGGCACCTTGGTGTGAAAGCTTAGCCATGCACCAAAAGCTAGAGAAATAAAGACTGAAAGCCGAGTTAGAACACAGTGAGACACACTGGCTGTCTTCCTGTTCTGAGCTTTTAGGGGCTCTGAAATAATGTGTTCATGAAAGGATTACAGCAAGATAGTTGGCTGCATGCTGGGAAAATACGAGAGAAAAGAGAAGTCAGAAATCAGTGCAGCACTACAACCTTGGTTTGTCTAGTTAATGCTTATTTCCTTATTTGGAGACAAAGGAGAAAGAAATTCATGCCCCAAACAATAAGAAAGCTGAGGATCTGCACAGACAAAAGCAGAATGTGTAAAATTGCGGGAGACTAATACACAACGTTTGCAAATAACTAAAACACCAAGCAAAAGGGAATAATCTGTGTGTCCCTGTATCTCTGTGTACTTGTGCATTTGGAGGCTAGGTGTCATTCCTTAGGTGTCATCTACATTGGGGGGTGGGAGGGGGGATAGGTTCTCTCATAGGCCCAGGGCTTGCCAAATAGTGTCAGCTAGCCCCAGACATGTGCCTGTATCCACCTTCCCAGAACTGGGATTACAAGCATGTGCTACCATGCCCATCTTTTTACATGGGTTCTGGGGGCTTGAACTGAGGTCTTCATGTACTTTACTGAGCAAATCAGCTTCCGAGCCTCTACAATATGCCTTAGCTACATTGCTTGTAGTCTACAGTGCATTTTCTACAGTTCCACAGGACAGAAAGAAAGGCCATTAGCATTCACTCCCAGATTCCTCTCACATATACACAGCAAGGGAGGGACAGTTAAGTCTGCTTTGAATTAAAGTTATGAACATCACACTTTAAAACCAAGAACAAACTGTTGGGAGTTTATCCTTGTTTTGTCTCACCGAAACTAACAAGTTTCAGAAACTAGAATTCTGTAGCTCTGAATTATCTTAATGATTTAAGAAATTGGAAACGATGACTTTTGCATATTTTGCTGCAAATGAAAATAAAATATATCACTCTAATATGTTTCTGGGACTATGTGTTAAAGGGGTGCTAGTTATGGGTAGCATTTTTTTTTTGTTATTGCTTAAGGATCAACTGCAATGCCCGATCAGGCTTGATGAAGGCCAGAGAAAAAGCTCCAGAGAGGGTGTGACTTACCTCACACAACTGAGTTCTAATGGGGAAACAACAACTTGGGCAGGTTATGTTTTGTCACCTTGAAAAGGGTCATCTGGGAAAAAGGCATTTCCTCAGAATTTTCTGTAGACATTTTCTTGATTAGTGACTGCTGTGGGAGGACACAGCCCATTATGGGTGATGCCGCCCCTAGGCTGGTTTTCAGTGGTACTGGAGAGCAAGGTGCAGAGAACAAGTCAGTAAGCAGCACATCTTCAGGGTCTCTGCTTCAGTTTCTGCCTCCACCATTCTGCCTCAACTTCCTTCATGATGGACAAAACACTATAAAATGAAATAAACCCTTTCCTCCCCAAGATGTTGTTGGCTATGGTGTTTCTCACAGCAATAGAAAGCAAACTAGGATACAGCTTTATTATTTTAATCTGTGGCACAATATGTCACCTTATGAACCAAAGGAACTGGGCCATGCTTTTACAACGAAATCTACACTGAATGACAAATTACTGTAACATGAAAAATAAAAGACCCAGAGACTGATATTGGGGTTCAAGCTGCAAGCTGAATATCAGAAAAAGCAAACCAGCCAGCCATATGTTAGTTGCTGCCTTCTTCTTTGTGTATTAGACAAAAAAGGAGATTTGTGGTGAAATATTGTTTATGATTTACTAAAGCTTACCTGAGGATTCAGAAAGCAAAGTCAGCCACAGGCCATAGAAGCCAGGCATACACTTTTAATTCCAGCAACCAGAAGCTAGGAGGTGGTGGTACACACCTTTACTAGTACTCAAGATTAAAAGATAAACTGATCCCTCTGAGTCCAAGGCTACCCAGATCTAAACAGGAATGAATCAGTCAAAAAAGAGAATTATAGCTCACACTTTTAATCCCAACATTAGGGAAATACAGAAGACAGAAGCAAGGTCTCAGAGAGGTATTCATTCTCTAGCCACATTGAAAAAAAAGGTTACAGTCTGAGGTTTGGTGAAGAGCTCCTGCATGGTTCAGCCCTTTCTGCCTGAGCTAGAGGTGAGAGCTAATGGCCAGTACTTTGCTTTCCTGATATTCATCTTGAAGTTTGAACCCCAATATCAGTCCCTTGGTCTTTTAGTAATTCATGTTACAAATTACTGGTAGAAATTGAAGATGTCGATAAAAATGTCACGGAACTAATATACTTTTATAGCAACCAACCAAAGAACAGATCAGATTTCTATTGTAACATCAGGTGAAATCTGTAATGACCAATAACAAAGAACCTGGCTATTGTGCTACTTAGCTGACAAATTATTTAGAGAATTGATTTCCTTGTTATTTTGCTAATTTAAAAGTGCTAAATTGATTGCCATTAAATCACAACATGCAGTTCTTTGTAGATACAACATATTTAATGGGCATAAAATGTGTATTGATAGACACTTTACCCTTGCTAGTATGTAAACAGAGGAATGAAATCATATATATTTCTTCCATTTTCTGTGTAGATGACATACGTAAAATTTATTTTAGTGGGTAGCAAACTGAATATAAGAAACAAGGATCTATACAGCAAAAGTCTTATTGTCTTTGGTCCATGTGCCATATTCTGATTAAAAAAAAAAAAAGTTGTATTTTTTTTAAGCTTCTCCAGGGAAAAGCTATTTTCACCCCCAATTTTCTCATGTGCCATATTCTGATAAAAAAAAAAAAGTTTTATTTTTTTTAAGCTTCTCCAGGGAAAAGCTATTTTCACCCCCAATTTTCTAACTGTTTGGATATCCTGGTACCTACAACATAGCAGTGAACCCATAGGCATGTTACAATATGTCTAAAGTAAGCAATATATTAAAACTATAGTCTCCAAGAATTATGAAACACAGATTAAGAAAGAGAACCGGAGAGGTATAATAGTAAACATTCCAAAGGCAATTGCCAGCTTACATTTTGATAACTGAAAATTATCTATTTTACTGTGCTTGTAGGCACTGTGCATTTCAGCTAAGGGGGCCAGTGGCTGATTGACAGGCCCTGCTCGTTGGCTGATGCAAACCCCTGCATACTGGGTATGAACTGTAATTAGAATATTAAGACTTGTAAAAAATAAGCTATCTTAAAAAGATCAAGAAGCCAGAAATTCTTAGATACCTAAAAAAGAAGTGTGTGTTGAAAGTAAATTTTGACATACCACATCTCAGTTTACCCAACTGCTGGGGATTTCTCACTTCCTTCTTTGTTTTCTACCTTTACTTAATGTCACTGGTCTCTCCACCTGCAAGCTCTGATAGGCCTATTAATGGCATCTCCATTCAGACACACATACTGTGAACTTTAGCTCATAGACTGTTTCCTACACCCTTAATTATCCTCCACAGTCAACTCTGACTCATCAATCCTCTACTACTCTCAAAATCCGTATCTCCACTTGTTGACTTTCCCTGCAGCAGAGAGGAGATCCTGATACAGAACCAGCTCTCCAGACAGGGGTGTGATGAACAGCTCCTGAACAACTCCCTGCTTAGTAGAGACTATGTTATACAACAGCCCAAATCACACACTAGCAGCAGAGAGGCCATGTCACCAGGATACTACATGTCTTCACAAAGGAACTGATTTTGAACCCAGCTACAGAGTCAAGTGAAGGTTTTGCATGCCCACCCATCAAGCCAACAACGTTTTAAACAAAATGAAAGCAAAACAAAACACGGTGACTCACTCAGTACTCCCAGTTCTATCCTGCAAGGAAGACTATGGTATGATCTTGTAATTAGCCTAGGGCTCTCCATGATATTTTCATTTTCAGAACCTCTGCAGTGTTATAAGCATCAATCAGGCACACGGACCTGCTTGCATTCCAGACAGAAAGGCTTGCCATGCAGCGTGTGTTGTAGGTTGGTTTTACAGGGTTATTTATGAGTAGTTGAAACATCTAGATAGGTAAGATAGCTGAGTGGTAGAAGTGCTTGGAACCAAGCCTGAGAACCTGAGTTCCATCCCCAGAACCTACCCCCATAGGCTGTCCTCTGATGTCCACATGTGCACCGCTGTATGTATGTACACACAAAATAAATACACTAATGTAATAAGAACTAAAAATGTAAATTGAAAAAAAAAAAGGTTCTGAAATAGTAGAAAAAGTAATGACTTCAACGTATCTCCCCACTTCTTGCCAATTATTTGTATCAGGCACTAAAATGATAAATCACTATCTGTCCAAAGAGCACTTACCTCATTGTCTGACTCCACAAGAACTTGATCATATTCACTAAGCGCTACTAGAAACATGATCGAGGTGACATTTTCAAAGCAGTGTATCCATTTTCTTCTCTCTGACCTTTGGCCCCCTACATCGACCATTCTGCAAAGTTAACAATATTCATATTAATAACAAAGAAAAATTCAAGAGTATCAATAATACTACTTACAAACTAGGGAAAATACAATACTTGAAAGACAATGGCAGCCAGGTTAATTAATGATTATTGACTATCTATTAATTGTCTGTTACCTGACAGAAATAAAGTGAATCACTGTGGTTACTAGGAAGTTACTAGATATGTATGAAAACTGTAACTATGTAAAACGTCCTATTTGTGCCAAGCAAAATAGTATTTTTATTAAATTACGCACTGCAAAGGCAAACACAGGATGTTTTTATGTTAAACAAAAATAACAAATAATAAATTTCATTTTCATTTCCTAGATGTCAGAGTGAAGACCCTCATGTGTTACTTGAGGATGCCAGGAATGACCATGAGTACATTCAAAAGATACAAGATGACCTGTATTTCCAAACAAGGAAGGAACTAATTGTAAATATGATCCTGCCTATACTTCCTTCTGTAGGATAAGAATTTGGGATCTTTTCTTTCTCTCAGTATTGGCAATAGTTTAGGACAGGCCCAACCATATCAGGCAGGATGGAACCTCACAGGGCATCATTTGAACCATTTCCTGGGTCTGCTTTTAATGCATTCACTCACTTGGTTACCCTCAGACACCAGCACAGGCACCAAGAATAGAGTGGAAGTATGTGTTTGTGCATGTCTAGCAGTGCCTGATACCAAATCAGCTCCTCCAAATTGTTGGAGCCCATTTTGACTGATGCACACAACATTCAGGAAAGAAGTCTCAGAAAATGAGAAGGTTTGGTATGAGAAGAACAGTGCTCTGTAAGAATGTACAGAACACAGTGCCTGCTCTTGGTATGTTGCTGACTCACACAATAAATCCAAAGGAAGGACTTGAAGAACTTCTGTTTCTTTGAGTGTGCATATAGGGGTGTATGTGTGTGTGCTCATGTCTGCATGTTTGTGTGGAGGAATAGGATGTCAATCAAGAGGCTTCCTCTGCTCCTCTCCACCTTGTGAGAGATAGGGACTCTCACTGAACCTGGAGCTCATCAACTGGCTACACTAGATGGCCAAAAAGCCCCAGGACCTTTCTGTCTTTGAACCTTCCACTCTCCGGACCTTGGGTCATAGGTATACATTACCATACTTGGATTTTTATGTAGATCATGGAGACCCACAAGCCATGTACCTTATTGAATGAGCCATCTCCCCTGCCCAGAAATCACTGAGCCTTCATCCTACCATTTCTAAAAGACTACAAAGGCACAGGGGTGAGATAAGAGGGAAAACCATGGGCCCATGAGACCCATGAGCTTTGAATATCAAAAGTGGAACTTTTAGGTGTTAAAAATAATAAAATGCTGGCTCTGCCCCAGCACCACTTTGTAAAAATATGCAACTCACTTACACAGAATTCCTATTCAAGGAAGTCATACTGCAGAGAACCAATGCTATGCATCTGAAGATGACAGGAAATCAGACCCTGAAGTCATTCATTACTTTCATCGTAGTAGCAAAAAGTATCCTTCAACACTGGTGCATAAAATGTGTCAAGAATGAGATGGAATCCTAATCAGTTTTTGAAATTGGAAAGCAACCAAGATGTGAAAATCTCCAAGAAGTACTGCATTCTTTTTGAAAATTTTCTATAATGTAGCTAAGTAAGTAAATTTTGGTATCCAGATGTTATAAACTCAAAAATATGTAACACAGAATGTTGACCCCAGGAACTTTGGTGGTTATATACAGATTAAAAAAAAAAAGAGGTCCACACATATTTTCAAGGTGGTATCTATTTCACAGCCATGTACTTTTGAGCAGTATACTGTGGCAAGATTACCCCACAGTGCAAATAATAGAGTATAATAATAATAATAATAATAATAATAATAATAATAATAATAATAATAATAAATAGAATAATAATAATATAATGGAATAATAATAATAATGATAAGAGGACCACAGCAGAGACATGCTGCAGGGGGAGCTACATGAAGGCGGCTTCATGGCCTCAAGCACAGGCCCATCCTAAGTAAGTAGGCCCCCTTGAGAGCCAGATCAACACTCAAGTCAAAGGCATACATACATGGTCCCTTAAAGCTCTAAGTGGTTTGTACAACCAAGTGATCATGAAACAGTAAAGTGAAAAGATACTAGTATTGTTTTTCTTGTGTTAAAAACAGTTCCAGTTGAAGCATTAAGACAAACAGCAGCAGTGAACAGGGAAATAATGAACTCCCATTCTTTGCCATATTGTTTTCTGTTAAGTTAATTACTCTAATTTTAAAAGCATGAATTTTGAAACTCTCAAGCACTTTATTGTATAAAACAGCATGATTTTGTTAATGCTACAGAGAAATTCTGCTTTGGTACCAGAAAAATATCAATATGGAAGTTTTCAATGGCAGGAATGTTGGTTCCTGTCTAAAATCCCAGCAACTGGAAGGCTGAGATAGGGGGATTGCTGTGACTTTAAGCTAGTCTGGGCTACAGAGGAAGACTCTATCTCACAAAACAAAAGTTTCTGAAAAAATATAGTTGCTATTACTCATAGGATTATATGACCATTTGTATCTTACAAAATTTTAAAAATATATTCAGTGTCCTCAGATAAAATGATTTTGTCTGTTTCTCCTCTCTCTTCCCCCCCCCTCTCTCTGTGTGTGTGTGTGTGTGTACATATGTACATATAGTGAAGACCAATGTTTGAGTAACTATGTTCTACCCCCAGCAAATAAGGTTTCATTAATTGTCTGGTATTTGGCCTGAAATGAATATCTTTCTTTTGCTTTCTCTTTCATTGATACATTATTTCAGTTGTGCATCCCAATGATGACAATCCACACAAAGCTGCAGGTGCTAATGAACTCAATTACTACCTGAAAATGACACTTTGTAAGTCAAAGGGGTATTCGATGATCCCTGTGGTGGGGACTCGAACTCTAAGCACATCTTGCTGTGTAGGCAGGTAGGAAGGGTCGGCCACACGATCCAAGTCATTCAGATAGCTAGAAGAGGGAGATAGGAGACTGTCAGTTACCATCATTCCTGACCCATGGAAGGGAAAAACAAAACCAGTCACAGAAAAAAAAAAAAATTTCAGATAGTGACAATCTAGGAAACAGACATGGTCAACCTTCCATTGCTCAGAGGAAGGCTCTCCACCCAATGTGGCCTACTAACCATATCCCCATTTCCTCATCATAGGGAACTCCCACAAAAGTAAGGGGGAGTTGTTAAGAAATTCAAGTTATTCTCCTACCCTCTATTTGTTTAGCAGGCTTGGCTGGCAAATCAAGAGTTACATAAAGTTTTTAATTATTTATACAAAGATTATTTGCATAAACAACAATGTAATAAAGCTGAGGATAAAGTCAGGAGTTGTCTTTTCCTTTGTTTGCAGAACATCACCCCCCCCCAGGAAGTTTCCTCAGTCCCCTGAGAGAAGACGGACAGTGGCACACCATGTCTTTAATTATGTCCAAAGCCCAAGTCATTTATTATTTATGCAAAGCCATGAGATTTTAAGTTATAATAATAATGATTTCTGAGGTCAGACCTTCTTCTTCAGAGCCACCTACACTAACTTTAAATGTATCTGGTCATTATACCTATACATTTCCTTGGGGGGAAAAGCAAACTTTTTTTTTAAAGGTAATTTTGGACTCAAAAGAAATTTATCAAATTATCACAGAGAATTTCTTCAATGGGCTTTCCGTTAATGATAACACCTTATGTATCTATATTATATTTAAAAAAAAAACAACAAGAATCTGATGTTAGCAAAATTAGAAAACTCATGGTATTATTTATAAAACTACAGGCCTTAGTTATGCATATTCGTAGATATCTATGCATATGAGTTTGTGCGTTCGCAGCATATAGATATCTGTGTAACCACCACCACAACCAGGGTGCACAACTTTCCACTTGGCATAAAGAAAGTAACTGATGTATTATCACTGCTAACCCTAACCCCTGGCAAGTACAAATTCATAACAGCATGGTTCTGCCATTCCCTTGCCACTCTCTCCAAGTGTAGGACGTAAGTTGTAATGTCATGAATGACACAGTTTGACAGAACTGATGACAGCCAGGTGGAAATGACTGTTCTAAGAAGAATCTTTATGATGTCAAAGAGGAACTGTACATACTTTCCTCTGCCCTGGAATTGCTGAAGCACAAAAATGGTTTCAAACCACATAGTTACAAAGTGTCTACACAAAGGGGCCATACGTAAGAGGTAGAACAATGGTGGCGGAGTTAACAGAGCTGGAAGACATAAGACACAGTGAGTTTAAATGTTGGTATTCATGGGGTTACAACTCAGTCATTATAACACACTCAGTGGACAGACTCTACCTGAGAGAAGACTGTTCTATATCCACACATCTTTATTTCTACCTCAGTATCAAGAAAATACTATTTAGTCATTCTTGGATGGATGGATGGGTTTCCAATACAGAGATTTAGTTTGAGCGTTAATGCTGTTAGTGTTTAACTATTACTATTGGAGTCTCTTTATGAGTGACACTGAAGGTAAGAAGGAAATGGTGTTCTCAGGTTGTAAGATGTACAGGCTCATAACAGAAGACTCTGACTTTAATATAGAAGTAAACCGACTGCCTTGTTGGAAGTGAACCAGTCCTTTAAGGCAACAGCAGGCTAGAATTCCTACAGCAAAGCAGCTATTCATACACAGGCCTTATTCCAGACACATCAACACATTTGTAGCTAGCAATGAGCTCTCTGCTGACTAGCAAGAACTCCTTCATACCTTCAATTACTATAAACCTGGCTAGAGGACAAAAGGGGACTGCTGGGAGAATACAAGTATAAAGCTGTATTTTAGTGAATCTGCATAGCCCTGGTCACTGGATGGAATGACAAAGCCCATGTTCTATGGATTGACTGTTTCTCCTCTACTGATAAACTGGCTCATACCAGATACAAAACAGGCTACTCTCTACAAATGCAACTTTGTAACTTATCAGAGCCTTGATTTAAAATTAAGCATATATTCTAAAATCTCTGTGATCATGATTTATATACAAGAACTCAGAAATCTTAGAGAAATCAAAGAACTCTGCATTTACAGTGGCAAGATGAAAATGAAACTAAGAAATATGCTACCATAACAGTAATGTCACTCACAAGTCAGAAGAGAAGGCTGCTAATTCCCATGTACATGGTGCTGAGGTAGTCTAGAAGTAAAGGGAAATTATGGTTTTGCTTCCTAAAGATGAACCTTACCTGAGTACCCAATGCTGCTTGCACTGTTTCTAAGCACAAGGCTATATTTGCCAGGGATAATTTAAAGAATCAGTGTATGAAGTGGGGATTTTTCTGTCAGACTGCACCGTAGGAACATGGACAGCATCTCTCCAGTCATGAAGGGGGCACCGAACTCCTTACAACTGTATGGCATGGAACCAGGGTACATCCTGCAACTGGAAAGCCAGCTGCATAGGCTCAGCAGCCACCCTACAGAACTATCAGTGGCACTCTTGTGTGACATAGGGTAGGTACTACTGAGCTGTCTCTAGACATTCACACTACGAGGATTCTCCCCTCTTTATCCTTCCTACAGCTCTTGTAGAGTAACTACTACTTACACTGAGTATTTGCTGCTTGCCAGGTCTAAGTATTGTCAACACCATGTCAAGAAATAGTTTTTTAAAACGTTCCATTCAAAGCTGGGCAGTGGTGGCTCATGCCTTTAATCCCAGAACTTGAGAAGTAGAGGCAGGCAGATCTCTGAAGTTGGAAGCCAGCCTGAGCTACAGAGTGAGTTCTAGGATAGGCTCCAAAAAAAAAATCAAAACAACAACAACAACAAAAACATGCCGTTCAGACTAAAGACCTGACTCGGTGGTTAAGAGCACTGGGTTCAATTCTCAGCACCCACATAATAGCTCACAACCAGTTCTACTTCAGTTCCAGGGAACCAATTCCCTCTTCTTGCCTCTGTCAGCATTAGGCATACACATGGTGCACAGACATACACGCAGACAAAACACTCATACACACAAAGTTAAGTAGATTTAAAAAAAATCTCATACATTTCTGATTAAGTTAAAAGTGATGGTCTTGCTTTTGCTTTTCCTCAGAGAACAGTGCAGGGAATGGCTCACCTCACTCGGGGCAGAAAACTAATGTAGTTTAGCAAAAGGAAAAGGTTTGAACACTATCCATCTCTGCTGGTTTCGTATACACCACCTACCCCCAAAGCAAACCATACCAGACACACCCCCAAGCAAAAGCAGTGAAAACCAAAACAAACTCACCAAATGTACAATCTGTATATATAATTATTTTCTACTAAGTGGCTCAGAGGGTATAATACTGAAGACACAATTTGCAAAGCAGAAAACAATAGACAAGTGAGAACTGCATCTCTCACTGCCCAGAAAGGGCCAACATGAACAGCTTGTGCCTGCAGAGCCCCAACTCATCTGCCTTGACAAGCAGGGCTCAGAGGAAGAACTCACACTTTTTACGTTTCATGTTGGCTTCATATTACTTTGTACCCCTAAGAGCGGTACTCTAGTGTAGTATGTCCTCTTCATTTATGCCTGTCACATTTTGAGAGGATGTAATAAAGTAATCTCTATTTTTTATATTTTCCATTGAAACATTTCAGATTCTCAGCAAAAACTAATGGAAAATGGAGGGTGGGGTGGGTTCATGTTGTTTTATTCCACTCATTTAACCTTTAAAAAAGAAACACTAGGGCCTGAACAAATTTATATTGCAGAGTAAATTCGGAGAGTTAATTATAGCTATAATTTGTTTTGTAAGACTGGTTTTGAGTGGCTGCTGAGGTCATTCTCGAAGTGTTGCTATGGTGATGGCACAGGTACATTGCCAAGGCAATGCAAGTGTAAAAGGTAGCTGGTAGAAACTCCTTCCTGATATGAGGCACAGGAAGAAGTCATTGTATACATGGACCTTAATTATCTAGGAGATAAGTCACTTCTAAGAATGTTTAAGAAAAAGCAAGTTTGGCTGTTTAAACACTCCTTATTCCCATCCTTTATAGGCCTTCAATGACTTCTGCTACACTGAGACATTGGAGAGTTTGATACTGTAGATTAAAAATATTCAGTCTCTTTCACATGTTTTCAAATTCAGTAGTCAGGGTTCATAACTATATTTAATCTGTGGCTGTATTACCAACACTTGGCTGGGAGCCTGGGCCACACATAACAGATGCTCAGTGTGCCACCCAAATTAAAACTATTTTATCGGAAATGCTGCAGTGGCTAGGCAAGTTACACTCCTGAGGAACAAGCATAGGAGCCAGGGGGGGGGTAGCTACCCATGTGGATGCAATTATATTTCTGGGATATAGCTGGCCTGCATTATGTAAAAACTAAATTCTGAATTAAATGGTTAGCTACCCATCTTTATGCAATTATATTTCTGGGATATAGCTGGCCTGCATTATGTAAAAACTAAATTCTGAATTAAAATGCCTCTGACAAATTTAAATACAACAGAACAAGGAAAGGCACCACTGGTTTAACTTCATTTAGGAGACAAGCTTCCTGCTCTTAAGTCCTGGCCACAGAATGACATAATTGGTATGAGCACACTCGTCAGTGTGCAGCTTCTGGACTTTGGAATTCCATCTAATCCAGTGGAAATTGACAAGGTTGAATCTATCAACAGGTATTTCTGATATAAGCTCTTTAATGGAACACAATTTTGTTGGTTTTCAGTAAAAAGTGAGGCAACAAAGAAAGAGACAAGTTCAGAAACCCGACAGCAGTTCCTTTACCACAGCAAAACACAAAGTCACCTGGAGATTAGCATCACACTGGACTTGTAGCATTGGTAGAAGCTAAGGATATGAAAATGCTTGGATAAGATTCATGGGCTATGAAGGAGTTTGCCAGCACCCAGGAAGAACCCCAGGGTTTATTTGGATTCAGTCAGCATCTGGGAATGCAGTACAAGATTTCAAGTGATAATCCACAAGCATCTTCCTGTCCAGTGTTTGAAT